ATGTTTCTCCTCTTGACAGTTATGGAATTAAAAGCGATGGAAATGGACATTCTATTTACTCATAAAAAATACAGTGCTAGCTGCCACAACTTAAGTGCTTCACAGTGTTTTACAACCAACCGGCTGCACCCAAGAGATGTCATCTAGTTTAAACATCAAAAGTAATTCAGTTTCTGCATTAACAATATTCTACACATTTCATGTCAAGTCTGTTGCTGTTCCACCTGACCTAGTATGATAAGTGGAAACCATAATGGAAGAAAAGATAAAAGTAATGAATGTCTTTTGACAAGTGCACACTTTGTAGTGGGTCCTTGTATTTGTTTCTCATCAGCAACAAACTTATATCTGAAAAAACCTAGTGGCCAGTTCTTATTTCTCAGGTGCTAGAAGCCTGTATAGTGGAGATAAAGTTTTAGAACAGGAAACTATCACTGTAAACTGTCAGTGGAGGAAATTCTCTCATCAACAGATATAATTCACACTAAAACAAGGAGAACATGAATAGTGTTCTTAAGGCTTCCTTATTTCTACAGTATATCATCTGTCAGCACGCTATTAAGGATCAAAACAAAAAATCATGTTTGCATGACGGATTTTCTCTGATATTTACCTTAGACTAACTTCTTCTTCTTTCTCAGAATGGAGGAAGGGCATTTGATGCCCAAAAGTTTGTCAAACAGCTTCCCAGCTATACAATAGGTCCAATGAAAGATATCACAAGAAATCCTTGCCTCTCAAACAAAACTGTTATAGATTCATAGATTGTAAGCCCAGAAGGGACCTGGAAGATCATCAGGTCCAGCTCCCTGCACCAAGCAGGAAAGATAATGGGGTTAGATGACTCCAGCAAGGTGATTGTCTAGTCTCCTCTTGAAAATCGTCTTTGTCAAAACAAAGCGTGTTTTAATAAAGTACATTTTTCCCCTCTATTGAATCGGGTCAGTAACTCACAATAGTAATTTTCTACTATTGTAAGACCTGACACAATGGGAGGGGTAGGAGAGGAGTTGAAATATCAACATACCTTCACTGATGTGTTGGTGTGAACTTGGGGAAATTTACATTTTAAGACTTATGGAGGAGAATCTTGAATTTCACTTTTTTTTTTAAAAAAGAGTTCCCAAACCATTTTCTGCTTTGGTGGGAGTGGGAGAGATAAGACACAAAAAACATGAAAACAGATGCTGATTGATTACTATACATTGAAAGTAACAGGCAGCTGGGAGGGATGCCAATCTGCAATGGTAGACTGAAGTGAGTTGGCAGGAGATCCAAATGAAAAAAAAATCTGTCAAAACAGTTTTCCATGCCAAAGTACTGTTTGAAAAAGTTCCCTAAATCTTATTTAGAAAGTTAGAAAAAAGTTTAGAAAGTGTCAATATAGCCTGTGTTAACATTTTTTTTTGGATATAAAGGTTTAGAAGCAATTTTTCATACTGAAATATTATTTAAAAGTTAAAACCTCAAAATTATCAGAATTAAAATATTTTGATTAACCCGAAATTAAAAAAAATGGAGTGTTGTTTCCTAAAAATTAAGTAAGAAGAGTCTTTTTTTTCCTTTTTTAACTCACTTGTTTTAGTCCCACAAATTTTAAAAAAATCGTGATCAGGTTTATTCAACAACTTAACTGTGCCTGGTGACCAGAATCTTGACAACAGCTGGCATTCCTATGTAGCAAAGGAGAAATTATTCTCTCTATTCCCTCCTCAATCCCTTCTCTCAACAGCTGTAGCTAGGGGTCTACTCAACTCAAAGAGGCAGATAGTCAATTTCATGGGCAGATTGCAGGGCCAGCTGCCATTTTCACAGGCCTTATCATGGTGCCCCACATATCTCTGACTGGTCAATGGGCTCTAGTGGCCTTGCAGCTGATTGGTGGAGAGGGCTATCCGTCACATAGCCCTGCCCCTCAACGCGGATTGGTGGAGAAGCAGGGCCACATGACAGGCAGCCCTATTAGCCAATCAGTGACGAGAGGAGAGGGGGTGGCAACCATCTTGCCCACTCCTCTTCATGCCAGCAGCTCCCCCTCCCCCAGCAAACTGTATGGCCAGGAGGACTACTGGATTCCACTGGGTAGCCAGCATTTTAGTTTTAGTAACACCCGCTTTCAACCTCCCCTTTCACTCACACACACACACACACACACACACACACACACACACACACAGATTTTGTGAAATTCATGAAGTTGCAATTTGACTAGGTCCCTAGCTATAGTTCCTTCTCAAGTCAGGGAAGACTTCCTCCTCCTCCCTCCCTCCCTAAAATTCTTAACTCACCAGTTAAGGGTTAATACTTCTAAAAGAGTATTTTTTTCCTGACACTTGAAAATAAATAGTTGGAGAATATACTTATGAATTGTTTTTAATGAAAAAGAATATTATAAATTTGTGGTACCTGATAAACATAGAGCTGTTATATTAGGAGGAGGAAGAGAAGAGAGTGAGATTTTTTCTCAAGAAATATTACGCATTCATTGTTCTTTGTGGATAATCTAAAGTTAAAAAGTTGGAAGCAGTATCAGTCTGTATATCTATCAAGGTCAAGGTTCCATCCTGATATACCCATTCAATGACAAATGCAGAACCAAAATACAGTACAAATGAGTGTTCGACAAACAAGCGCTCTACATCTTTGGTCTAACTTTGGTAAAAACTGGAGAAGCTGTCTTATTGCTTGCTTTGTTCACAACAAAATACTGCAAATGTGAGCTGAATTAAGGGAACTTGAATTCAGAGCACTGGATAAATGGATAAAATAGAATTCCAAGGCCATTCAAGGCTGTTCAAATCAGTAGCACTGAAAAGGTGTTATGCAATGGCAGTTTTCTGATATGCAAACAGAATTGGAATATTTGTTCAGTTTCACGTGACGGCCCGAGTGGCTTGGGTTTTTAATGGCTTAGAGAGGCCCATACATATTTACATGTGGAAATTCAGGACTAGCTACCTAGTTCTTATGGATTTAACTTTCTGATGCAAGAGATTAGGGAGAAGGAATGGGGAGACAAACCAGAGTACAACCTTGGTGATTTTGTTTTGAAATGGAAAAAAAGAACTGACCAAGTGAGGAAACAGCTTGGGGGAAATGGAGCAATGTATTAATTCACCTAAACTTCAATAAAAATAGTAATATCCAGAATTTCTTAGTCTGCTTCAACAGCCAAAAAATTTTTCTTGCTCAAAGGGATGAAAAGCATAAAGATGGGCTTGCTGTATTTTGTCTCAAAGAAAATTAAAAAATGGAAATGCAAGGCATCTTTACATGTGCTCGGGGGGGGGCTTTAATTAGAGGAGCTCCGAGATCCACTCTAATTGAAACATCTGTAGCGCCTTGTGCATTCAGCATCCCGCACTTCCAAATTGCGACAGGGGTGCTTTAACTAAAGTTCAGCCACCATTTTAAAGCATGGGGACACTGAATGAACAAGAGGCAGAGGCTGCTGGAGTGTGCTAATTAGCATGATTAATTAGATCACTTCTGATGCATTGTAATTACAGCACGTCGCAGCAGCATCCCTGCACCTCTACAGGCACCCACAAAGGCTACTGGAGAAATCTAAGTAATACCAATACAAATAGGATTTTCTGCCAGTCTGAATGCCCCTTGTTCTATAAAGATCTAGAAGGTCTTTGCCCAGATGTGAAGCTAATATGAAATCAAGAAATACTGCTAGCACTACTGGAATAGGCAACTGACCATTCCAACTAGAAAATCCAGGCAACAGAAGGAAATCAGTGGGTCCAGATTTATTAAAGTTTAAAAACAATCTATTTCTGAATTAGTATTCTGTACCTGTTTTCATCGTGAACTCATTAAATACATGTACATATTAAGTATTTATGGTTTATCTCCTCTCGGGTTTTGTTCCTCCCACATACAGTGAATACTCATCAACTGAAGTAACTGGGTCACACCCTTGAGATGACTCAAGACACTTGGTTAAGAATGCAATGCCTCAGATGTGTATACACATTTAAAAATCAAATCTATCTGCTTTCATTTCTTAGATTTAGAACCCAGTTAATCTATTAAATTTCCTTAAAATTTCTGCATAAAGGTTACCCTTGAATATTAATACCTAGATTATATTATGACTCTGGACTGGAAGGTTAAAGAACTGCTATACTGGCAAAATATTTTTATCATAGGCTTTTCATGCATACTATCTTCTTAGACTTAGCTGATCAATAATTATATTTGGTAAAGTGGTGTTAAAAATAACATCTGATATTGCACAATTAAAATTAGAAGGTATTCTCACTGCAATACTTTTATGATAAAAAATGAAATTTAAGCAGCTGCTTCCTTAAATTCATAGTGGTATAAATCTATGACCAGGGGTCATGTGACTAGAATCTCATAATTTAATTAAATAATCTGAATATAAATCTGCAAATGTCAATGAAAGCATTAAAAATGTGTAGCTAATACCATTGAACCTATTCTACATAGACTTAGAATCTGCAGTGTTTGCAGATTTAAGAACAAGTTTATCTTGTGAAAAACTGAAATTTACAAACACTAAAAATTAGATTATGGAAGCTAATGAGCTCTTCAAAGAAAAAAACAACTTATTTTGAATACATACACTCAGTAAGAGGAGCAGTGATATATAATGTCTCAAAGAGTTATATCTAGAATAGTATCATAGTTGCCTTGAGAAGGTGACATTTATACTCAAATATTTTATTCCTACAATGAAAGATGCAGTCAACAACAATTTGAAAATCAAATCAAACCTACAATTTAGGAACAGCAGAAATAGAAAACCAGAAATAGAAAAACAAAGTGCATATATATTCCCATAAAGAATTTAAACCACTCAGCTGTTTGCCTTTTTTCCCCATTTAGGTTTATAAAAGATACTAGAAGAAGAATGTGATTAGTACAAACATAGTAGGGCAGTCACATTCATTAGGATGCTTCAAAACACAGTGAGAAAGTGGAGCCACACACAAGCCCTGCTTTAGAATAAAGACAGACTCTTATTTTCTCTAACAATTTTATTTCAACAGAGTACACAAGTCTGTCACGAAGCTACAGTACTGTATATTAAAGTTTTTTTCCTTTACAAATGAACTCCTACAAAATTTCAATGCCTGTACTTTAAATACTTTAAAAAAATTAAATACAAAATCTCAAATTCATACCAATATCAAACATTATGTTTTGTGCTTGTGAAGTGTATAACTTCTTTAGTTCCAGTAGGTATTTAAGCTATGGGTTGAACTGAAATGCACCCCAACATTGTGGATCCAACACAAAGGCCACAGGAAAGCTAAAAACAATGTCTAAATAGGGGTTACATGATCTAAAAGCCTTATGAGGCCTTACCATGCTTGACGGAAGGTACTTCTAGTTAAGAAAGATTATGTGGCAAAGGCAAAAATCCTCATCTGAAAATTACTATATACAGAAGTTACTTCCTTTAACTAGAGATTTTCCGCAAATGGATGTTTTTAAACATGCCTGTAGCATTTAGTCATATAGTTACTAGGCAGGAAGAATGCCAACATTTAATATGACATGTTACAAGTTAATAACATTTTTTTTAAATATGCCCATTTGCACTTATTGAATAAATAAAATGCCACATTTAATGGAGTAACTATAAGTGACAAATTACATTAATTTCTCTCTTGCTGCATTCAACACATTTTTAAGATTTAGTACGTACATAAAAATTTACCTGCATGAAATTTCAGTGGGAAAAAGCCAAACACTTAACAGCTGTTTCAGAACAGGGCTAATTTAATTCCCTTGCCCTCAAAATTTGTTATTTAATGAAAACTAATGCTTTCTTTGTACCAAGCAAATATATTAGCTGATAAGTAATTACATCGCTGTGGAGGTAACTAGTAATTGTTTCTTCAGTTCATTTGGATTTAATCATTTACAACTGATGGAATGAAGTACTGATAAAGTCGTGTTCTAATTGGTATACCAGTTGTCCTTACTTCTTCTAAGAGTTTTCCTTAGTAATCTTATCTATTATTTTTGACATTGTGCAATCTGCTGGCCTCTATCCAATCTCTTAATAGGCAAAATACTGTTAAACCAGTCTTTGCTTTAACAATCATTACTATCTATAAATTGAATAGTAGAATGCATCAATTCCAAAGAAAAAACTGACACAAAATCCATTTATAATGGTCTTCTCAGTGCTTTAACCATTTAATAAGGCCTGAATATTAGGTAGTTTTGGGTAAAGTCTACCAAGTCAAGAGGATTCTGTATTTCAGACAGTCATGGGAAGTGACAACATCCTTATTCCCTAAGCAATGACAGACAGACAGACCTGATAGTTATGTCTTGAGGGTACATAATGCTGTTTTCCCATTATGTCCACACAGTCTTTTCCTGTTAACTGTCAGAGCATTAAATACATTATGCTCTGGTTAACTTGTCTCTCCAAATGGAATGCAAACAACAGTAAATTATTCAGTAGCAGCCAGTTATAGGGAATACAAATCTGGGAGCAGAATGGTGCTAGCTGGGTATTAGAACAGCAGCAAATTGGTACTGCAGCAAATTAACTTGAGTTTACTATATGTACAAGGAAGTTTCAGAAAGTAGCAGCAATTTTGAAATAAAATCATGTTTATGTGCAATGATTATTTGCTGGATCACGTAAACTTCTCTGCACAGTTGTAAAAAATGGCTGTTAGACAATGCCAGCACCAGGGGTTCCCTGCTGCTTTGCAGTTTCCCATTCACTGCACACAAAATGTTTTTATTTCAAAATTCCTGCAACACTGAGACATACTTGTACAAATCCTGCTTTTGTCTACATTAGTATAAGATTTAGTGTTTCATGATTACCTGATGGGAGTGCAAGAGTAATAGAAAATGCAATGTTAACTACCTCACATGTCAACAATTACATAAAACAAGCACAGTAGGTTGTAAACTGGTTGTCCAGCCCTACAGCTGGTTTTAAATCCATGGGTCAGCTCTAGTTTTGCACAGCTAATTTATCCTCACAACTGAGATAACAGCATATTTTTTAAATTCATAAACACCTTACTTTTGGGGTAGGTAACATATGAGTATATATCATTTAACCTTAACAGCACCTCTTTAGCACTTATAGTCAGGTGAGAAAGATAGTTATCTTCATCTCCAAACTTTGAAAAGTGTTTAAAAACACCTTATTAATTAACTTGTGTAGTCGTGTCTGGAAAATGACTAGAAAGTAGCATTCAGCACAAAAGAGTCTTCATCCTCCACCATTCTAATAAAATAGGAAAGTGGGCGATGTACAGTAACAGTACTCACTAATTGTAAATAGAAGTTCAAACAAAACTAAAGCACTTTAAAATATATAACACTAAGAAAAATTCCCTAAGTCACATCCAAAAAATTGACATGAAGAAGTACAAACAAGCAATATGTGAAAATAAAGAAAACAGATCACAGTGTTGTGTTTTGAAGACTACCTTCATCTCTAAAAGCACCTGTCCAAACAGTAATTTAGGCACCAGAAATTTCATTTAAAAATTAAGTTACAATCAGGCATAAAGTTTATTGAAAAGGCACAGATGAAAATCTCTTAGTTCTAACAATAAGATTACAACCTTAAAAGATGTCCCAAATGTAGGAAGTTTGTATACAAAAAACTGAGAATACTTAATATCCACTTCACTCTCTAAAATCAGTATGAAAGGATATGTACCCTACATAACAATCCAGATCAAAAGTAGTATACCTACTTAGTGCTAGGACAAATATTTAGGAATGAGCTGAAAAGCTTATCACAGACAGATCTAGTCAATTAAAAAAAAGACACTATAGCCTATAAGCTTGAAAAACCTTTTCTCTCACACAGTTACAGAGATATATCTAGTATCTTTCACACAGGCAGTACCAGACATAGTGCTGCATACTATATTCCTTTACATTTTACTAAAATATTTGGCAGTTTGTTATCTACAATTGATGTTTTAAATTCATGAAACGGTTATGAAAAATGTCACTTTCACAAAAACACAAACTGGTTGAAAGTTTAAATTCATTATCTACAACTACCCAATAGGCATTATTAGAATTCATGAAGAGTAGTTTAGTAGGTCTGAAACCAAGAGAAAAAAAATAAGCACTTACTTCTCTATAGCACTGTGTTTGCAAGAGGTGCAAAATGTTGGGCTCCCCCCCCCCTCACCAAGAAAAAAAAAAATCTCAACAAGTTATTTTTAGATAACCACAGTGCAAAGAGAATTTACCAAAACTCTTTATTTCTATCAACAAGAATGGAATGACCTATTTGGTATCGGTATTCTAAAATGATATTCCAAAGTAAAAGGCCAGATTTTACCAAAAGTTGACTATTTAACAGCTATTCACTGAAGTCAAATACAGTTTCTGCATATTTAAATCTTTGGGAGGGAAAAAACAACAGGCCACTGTTTTGGAAGGAAACTGTTGTTTTAAAGGTCATCGCAAGGTTTTGAAAATCTTGACAATAATGTAGTACTAAATCAAGAGTTCTCAACCTATTTGCCATGGTGGGCCACACTTGTAGCTTCCAATGTGTTATGTGGGCTACAGCCACACAATTTACTGCCTATGTACCCATTAAAAAAAATGTTTTAACAGGATGTCACATGGGCAGCAGCAGTGTGCTAACTGGGCTGCAGGTTGAGAACTGATGTAAATAGACCTGTGTCCATTCCTTAAGGCAGGAGTGCCAACCTCACCTTGTGCCCTGGAATGGATCTAGCCCACTGTGCTCTTTGCAGGCTCTTTGCAGGCTAGACTTAGCCTTCGGTATACGATAGCAGCTCATTCCTACCCAATGCCACATGACAGTGGCATCTCTCCAGTATGGGGCACAGGACGCAGCTCTAGCTCTGGCCACATGCACCACACCCCATGCCAGAGCTGCCACCACTGGCACCATTCCAGGTTGGAGCCATGTGTTCTGTGCTGTGGTGGCAGCTCCAGCTCCAGCACAGGGTATACAGCAGGTCCAGCATGGGGCTAGTGGACGAGCAAGTGCAGCCGTGGCACTGGCGACAGACAAAGCAGCTGAAGGGTGACTAGGGCTGTATCATCCCTCCTGCCACTGATCACCACATCCACTGGAGCCTAAGAGCCCTGGATCCTGTGACAGGCTATGCCTCCCCCACTTCCAGTGGCCTGCTGGTAACCAGGCAGGATAGAGCAGCTTCACACAGATCTGGCCTGTGGGATATACCTTGATACTCTGGCTTAAGGGACAGGAACAGCTGACCTGAAGTTTTGAAAGATTAGGTTCTGTGAGTAACACATTTATAGTGCCTTTTTTAATGGCAGCAAACGTGAATGAGGTTTAAGTTTCTTGGCATGACTATAAGTTCTTGTTCCTTTACTAAACGTAGGATCTCAAAAATCATGCTAGGTCTGTTATAAATTTTACTTGTTGGAACTAATGAAGTCAAGTTTATCAGTTTATTGCTTCAGTTCATTGCAACTGTTTGCCCCTGAATTAAGTTTCAGCACTTCAGAAAATGCTCCAAATCAAGTTAAAAGATTTTCACACTTTTTGTAAAATATTTATTTCATATTTCAGTTATTGTGGATTTCATAGAAGAGTGGCCCAAACGAGTTAAAACATTTCAGTCACTCCAAACAGAGTAAAGTCTCTAGATTGATAACAAACCTCTGCTGTACAGCTGGAATGTCTTATCACTTGTAAAAAAAAAAAAAAAAAAAAAAAGCACTGCATTTTGTTTTCTACTCAGAATCACACATTAGCCTAACAATATTTTTTCAGCACCCTAACAAATTTAATTATGGTCAGTGCTGGTATCTAGCTGGGAACATCAATGCTTTGTTAATATACTGTGGGCGCATCTACATGTGTGCATTTACTTCACAGTAACCAAAATTACCATGTAGTACGAGCACGCATCTACACATGCAGGCCCATACTGCACAGTAAATATGGCGACTTACACTGACTTGAGCATAAATTTGATACCTGCATGACAAAGGTATCAAATTTATGCCCTATTAGTTACTGTGCAGTAAGTCATGTGTAGACACCTTACCGTGCAATAATGCTGTGTGTATGGACTGACTCCGGACTAAAACTTTAGTCCTATCAGTCCACACACAGCGTTAATGTGTTTTAACGACTGCACGTGTTGACGCCAGCCTATTCCTGCTTACTGTGCAGGAATTTAAGCCAGCATAAATGCATGTGTAGACAAACCCTTTATGTTTGAAATTTAAAAGGAAGGTTTGTGACTATGCTTGAAATTAAAAAGGAAGATTCAAATTAGCTTGCTCATTTTCTACCTGGAAAATTTTGTGCATTTTAAATGTAAGTAGAACAAGATAGGTTTCGTTAATACTTATAATGAATAAAAAAAGGACTAAAACTTAACCCTATTCTATACGATGGAGCCATCTTTACTTTGTGCTGGAATCATCACAGGGACCGCTCCCATTCTACTAAGATTAGGTGCAGCTACCTTTGGTGATGCAAAGTTTGGATTTTGTTCAGGGGTACGTTCAAAGTCTTCACTTGGAACTTGGCTATATGGAGTCTTGGTATATCCATCCATATTGGAAGGAGACATTGAACCCAGAGAAGAACGATTGCTGCCTACATAGCTGCGGGCTGTTGAAGTCCGACTCTTTGGAGGGGGAACATCCTCTCTGAAAATGAAATTGCAAAGAAAACTTGATTAACCAGGACTGTATTGGTGTTTTTACATGTTCTGTGAAGGTTCTCTAATTGGCTTTTTTTATTCCAGCAAAAATCCCAACAAATATAGCACTCAACTTTTTACTTAAAAACATATTTGTCACACTAAGAATCTCTGTTCAACCAAACAAAATATTTTGGAATATTACAAAATAGGGTATGCATAAACAATTACATTCATACTACATTAAAAATATATGGTTTTGGAAGTAGCTGTTACACTGAGTTAATGAACTGACAGATCAATAAAAAATGTTCAGCTCCCATAACGAACATATTATTAATGAAAGGACAGAAATTACTTTTTTAATTTTCAGAGATTATAACTCAAAGGCTTAAAACTATGGGTCATTACCTAATATCATGATGCACTTCTTTTTCATATTTCTTCTCTCTGTGCTTCTTACAGGCATAGGATATGAGAAAAGCCAGTAAGCAGAGCCCCAGCAATGTTCCTATAATCGCTCCAGCAATTATGCCACCTACATTTACAGCTAGAACAGAGAAAAAGAAATGACTATGGTACTGGCCTTCAAAAGATCAAATGAACAGATAAATCTCCTCTCCTACCTTTAAATAAAAAGGTAAGAACATTCCCTGTTTTCTATGCCATAGAACTACTGAATAATACAAATGTGTTTCAGTTGAATTGTAATGTTAAATTTGAATAATTCTTCATTTGTACAGAAAGCCACATAAAAACACTGACCTCCTTTCTGGAGCTCAAAGAATGTTCCATGCTCAAGTGAATGGCAACTATCAGTTCAACTGTGTATATCTTCTCTCCCCTCTTCAAATCATATAACAAAGTTATGCTAGTTCTTTAATAAACAAACATGTTTAGTCAAATATTGTACAAGAAAATACTTACGAGGGGTAACATTCAGCACAAGAAAACATTCGTCTGTGCCGACTCTGTTGGAAACAATGCAACTGTATGTACCAGAGTTATCCTGAGAGGCATTTTTCACAGACAGTTCTCCTGTGTTTTTATCTACAACATTGAAACAGAAATTTGGATTAGCATTTTTCTTCTATTGTAATTATCTAATATTCTCAAAGGAGAGAAACCAAAGCATAAATGAAATTATTTTAAAAGCTAATCTACCTTACTTATGTTATGCTAATGAACACCTGGTCCAGTTCATATAATCTTTACCTTGTGATCAGTAAAGGCCAGTAAAAGTAGATTTGGGGGGTTTACTTGCTATTATTTCTTATCCAGCTAGTTCAGAGTAAATTGTCTTGTGCAACTGCATGAAAAGTAGACACTCTTCAACAACTATATATTGACTATTCAGTTATGCATACTCTCTGGATTTGTTGGGAGTGACCAATTTGCCCGACAGCAAGTTTTGTATTCACATCATCATGCCCTAGATTCTAATGGCTCGACCTAAAGAGAGATAAAAAATTGAGAGCAAGTGACTTATTTTTAGTTGAATAAATACGTGGCCTCCTTTCACAGATTTACAACTTGGAAACCTGCTAAAGGCAGGTGCCTACACATCTCTCTCACTTAGAAAAAAAGAGATACTTTAAAAAAAATAAGGCCAGAAAGCTATGCCTTTTCGCTACCCAATAGCTCAGATGGTTATAGCACTGACCCAGAATCTAGGAAACCCAAATTCTCTCCATTTCCTTACAGAAAACTCTAAGCATCAGGCTAGTGGCCATATGGGTGACAGTACTCCTGTCCAAGTTTCAATTATAAGGAAAGAATTTAAGACATATGGGGTGTATCTACACAAGCTATTCATTCAGTTCAATAAACTCTGGCACAGTTTGCACCCAAGTCAGTGGCTCCCAGGCACGGCATCTTCACATGCACCCAGGACCACAGCAGTTTGAGCTAGTGGAGCAGCCCCTGGGGGTCAGCCCCAGGCTCCAGATGCTGGGGCTGACTGGGGTACGTGTGCGCCAAAACTACAGAACCATGGGACTGACCCCCAAAACCTGCTGCCAGCCCAGAGCTGCTCCACCCTGACTCATACTGCTGCAGTCCCAGTCACTGTCCACATGTGCATTTCTGCTCAGTAAATGTCTCTGCCAAAAGAAGGTACTATCAGGGGCACTACTATCTTATGGCGGTTAATTTACTGTACCCTAATATCAGCACATGTGTAGACAGTGATGCTTTACTGCAGAACTAATTAGTCAACTCTGCAGTAAAGCATGTGTAGATGCACCCATAAAAGCAAAAGCAAGTGTGAGTATGCCTCTGTAACCTACTGATTCCTTTTCATATGGTAAAAGGGGTAGCAACAAAAATAAGAATGAATTACTTAGTTTATAATTATTTTTATGGCCATATAATAAACAATGAAATATTTCAAGGATTTTTACAATAGATATTGCTCTCCCTTTTGGCCAGCAATTCTGCCTTAAAGCATCAGCCTTCTTTTAAGCAAGATGAAGCAACAGTGAAAGAGTTTAACAGATTACACAAGTTTCAGATATGGTCAGTTTGAGTCTGTTACTTCAAATTTTAATGTTCTATTCTGATTTAGTGAGCCAATATTTTAAGCATTCCCCAAAATTACTTTCAATCAAACACTACTACATTAGTTCTTCCCTAATTCACCATCTCCAAACTTCTTGGTTCACCATAGGTACTCACATTTTTAATAATGTCTAAGTACTTTTAGCCTGGCTTTCAGGGATACCGCTATATCTCTAGGAGTTCATTTTAATATGAAGTATAGACTACATAATGACTAGTTTTATAATAGTTACTTCTATTTCACTATCATTTACCAGTAAACTAAAATAGAATGTCTGTTGGCTTCTTTCATCTAATTCATATGCAAGTGTCAAGACTTTGCCTGTCTTATGTTAAAACTGGCAAGAAATATTTAGTGCTTCAAGTTCAACCCATGAATAAGTCATGAATAAAAAACCACTACCCATCTTAAATATATTACTAAAATAAAAAATAGCAGAAGATAAAGGGTACTCAGTAAAGATGTAGCCGGAAGTTGTTCTGTGCCAGTGCCAGTAAGTTTTCTCCAGCTGTAGGACAAGAGAGGGGAGCCTTCCTGTGCTGCACATTTTAGGGTCAGGTCACTTCCAATTTCCTGTGATCCTTCAACGTAGCATTTAGTTCTTGCTGGCTTTACTAATAGATAAAATTATATTTAATTAATATCAGAATTGAGTCAACAACTGTGTTCAAGAACGAAATTTTGATAGGTAAATTATTTAGCTGAATTTTTTGTGCTATCAAAAATAGTTTTTCAGCTCAAAACAGAAGACATTATATATAAAATATAAACCAATCATTACCGGGG